TCAAAACTAAAAAGGGTATAAAGTAACTAACAGAACAAAATGATCAACAAAGGGAAACTAGCTATACAGAGAGCAGGCAGGGAATCAAAAATAGCTGAAACCACAGGCAGCAAGAACATCAGCAATAGCAACAAACATTTGGTGCTGTGTTTGACCACCTGGCGGTGGGCAGAAGCCTCAGAGCTGGCCTCCTCAATCTCCGACAGGGACACCGGACGGCCACAGACTTCACCCTGGAATTCCACATGATCTCAGCTGGGTTGGGTTGGGTTGCAGCTGCACAGCCGGTAAAGGGTTCTGCAACCACATAGTTGCACTCATGAACCAGACTGCATACTATTCACAGCACCATATGCTGGCTGTTCCACCACCTCTGGCCTATACAAGTGACTTATAAAGATGGGACAGACCAAGAACTCAGGTGAGTTTGGTATAAAAGACCTATCAAGGTTAGATAGGCACAGGGGAGTCCTAGATGTGAAAGAACCTCATTCTAGCTATTACTCTCTCCACTATAACTCTGAGGTGGGCAGTGGCTTGGGTTTGTGCAGTTTCCTCCTTGCTGAATTGAGAGGAATGTTTACAAGGTGGAATGATGCGGAGATGTAACCTGTGTACAGAGGTGAGGTAAATGTCACCAAACCAGTGGGAGTAACTCCGATCAGCCCTCTCAATGTCGTCCTCTTCTTGTATTTGGAGAATGTCTCCAGGGCGATCTCTTTGCAGTCCAGCATGCCTCTAACGTTAGGACAATATCTCTCGAATTTGAGGGGGACAGTAGACTTGACCTTTTCCCTGCTTATCCAGATGGACCAGTGAGGACAGCATGATGAAAGATAATTTGCCCAATGATGATAAGTTTGCTGACCATGGCAATGCTCACCTTAAACATGTCAGCAATGAGCTGCTCCTTCACGCCAACAGCAACCCGCATGGAGTACATTAGAAACTGGTCTATTAATGGCTGGGTTCTGGGCCGGTTTCCTCACCTGCCCTCTTCGCTTTGGTCCAGCACACCAGTCAAGAGGCAGATGGTATGATAGACTCCCAAAAAATCCAAAAGACACTCTCTGATTTGGTCATCTGATGCACAGTAGAGGCTGAAGAGGACAGGAGATGTTACTTTTTCCAACCCAGCTTCCAGGTTCACAGCCTTAGCCGCCGTATCACTACCTTCCCCAGTCGAAGGGGAAACAAACTGATGTTTATTTATAACTTTCATTCCCCGACTCCCTTTTAGGTGGTGCAGTAAAATTGTTCCAAGTAAAAA